TTATCAGTTGCCATCAACACAATGATGATGAATTATTCATCATCATCAGTCATCATCATTAGTCATCATAATCAGTTATCATCACTGTCATCATCACCACCACCACCACCATTATCAAAATCATCGTTATCATCACTAACTCTATTAATAGTCATTGCCACTATCACCGGTATTATCTGTCATACATAAAACATCCATATCTGTTCAGAACCCTCTTGGAATTGTTTAGATAAACAAACTCTTCTAAAAATCAAATTTCCAGGATAATGTCAATGAGCGGCTCACCCCTGGCCAATTCCTCTGCACTTGCCCACACACCACAAGTATTCATCCCAATAGGAAACGGAAAGGTATGTACACACCATAACAGTCTAAAAGTGTGTATGATTGAATCAACCTTGCAAATGAAGATTTTAGCTCAAATTTTCAATAAAAATTTTTACATCTCTGTCTTTGGTATAATGGTTTTCCATCAAGACCATGTCTCATTCTCTTGAAAATAAGATTCTTTGTTTGAGTTGTATCCATATTCATGTATTTTCCCATGCACAAAAGAAATGATACTCTAAGGAATTACATGTGGTCTAAAATGGGAAAATATGCGCAAGGTAAAGAAGTCTATAGACTGGTTCCAGAAAATTCCAAAGCTGTTCAATTCAGAGGACAAAACAATGAATTTCAGTTGTTGTGAGAGTAAGATTCTATTGTCTTGTCCTCTGAATTGGGCTGCATTGGGGAATATCCTGCAAGGGGTCTATAGAACTTTTGTGACGTCAAAGCAGCTCAATCTGGGGGACAAAACAAAAGAATTCCAATCTCCTGAGAATTGGAATCTATTGTTTTGTCCCCCAGATTGTGCTGCAAGGGGTCTATAATTGTTAACAGCCTTTTTGTTCTTGTTCTTGTTATTTTTCTTGTTAAATTTGCTGTTTTATTTTTCAGACATTTCAGTTCTCCACTGAATGCCATTTGAGTCCATCTCAGGCTCCCTCGTTGAGTGAACGAGCCAGGAAAAATGTAGAATTACTTCAGGTATTTATCCTTATTTATAAATAGAATAAATAAGATTTAACAGTGGCATTTCCACAGAGCATTTCCACATTTCCACAGTTTGGCCAAACCACAGCACAAAGACAAAGCTGCCACACTGCAAATCCTGCCAATACCCCTGAACCACGATAGGCTCCCCCACACTGACGCTAGGCAAAACTGCTGGCYGGTTGGACTCGACTTTAACTTTGCCTAAATTAAATTCAGGCTCAATTAAAAATTATTTTTTTGGAGGGAGGAAAACTGAAGAACCCAGAAAACCCTCAAAGCACAGAATAGAACCAACAAACAAATCTACTTACATAAATTGAACCTAAGGGACTCGAACCCAGGTCACATTGGTGAGAGGTGAGGGCTCTCACAGCTACACTACATGTGCTTCCTAAATAGACCTAAGTATTTACCCTCTAAATATGGCATGACAAGAGCTGATAAGTATATAGCATATACTCTTAACAACTTTCAATGTTTTGTAATGTTTTGCCATTTCAGACCATGTGTCATTCTGTTGAGAATCTATAGATTCTTTGTTTGAATGATATCCATGTTTATGTCTTTGTCATACAAAATCACTAAAGAAAGCAATAATACTCTAGAGAGTGACAAATGGTCTAAAAATGACGAAATACTGCAATTAAGCTAAACAGGTCAATAGAAAGATCAAACAGTTAAATCTTTCATTTGCATCTTATTATTCTAATTCCAGGAACAACTCTCTCGTCTGTTGAAAGTACCATCGCAACTTACCAAGAAATGAACAAGACATGGTACACATTTGTAAATACCACATAATTATGTACTTCATCCTTCAGTACTCTAGTGATTGTTATCCCAGGAAAGAGGATAGACTCCACCATGCCTCCCTACGTAGTCTTTCACAATATTCTATTACAAAGAATACCAGTGAATAGAGAATGATGTATGTACAAACTACCTACTCCTCTCCCCTTTCTGTAAAACTTGATCAAATTCGATTCTGTCAGGGGTGGGGTCGAGAATTTTGACTTATCGATCACTGACGACAAAAAATCGATCCAAAACTGAAGATCCATCAATAAATTTCATTAATATTTCCATACAGCCATTGATTTCCATGTAAAAAACTAATCTGAATGTCGTACAATCTCGAAAAATTATCGATCCAGAAAAACAAATGTCTTGCAATCCCGAAAAAATTGTCGATCCAGGAAAGCAAATGTCTTACAATCCCAACAAATTATCGATCCAGGAAAACAAATGTCTTACAATCCCGACAATTTATCGATCCAGGAAAGCAAATGTCTTACAATCCCGACAAATTATCGATCCAGGAAAACAAATGTCTTACAATCCCGACACATTATCGAACCAGGAAAACAAATGTCTTACAATCCCGACAAATTATCGATCCAGGAAAACAAATGTTTTACAATCCCGACAAATTATCGATCCAGAGAATGACATCTTAATTTCCCAAGACATCATCAGTGAATCTGAAACGAACTTGTATTTTAAAATTTTATTTGTTGTATTGATAAATAAGTAGTACAATAAATGTAACTGTTTAGTTTTTAGGTTGTTGAGATGGATGAATGAATTTTGGGATAAAATAGTAACCTTTACAATCTAATGATCAAATTTGGGGAAATTTTCTGCATCTGGACAGAAAAAGATCACAAGGTGAATGACTTGGACCTAAATTTAGGATAGATTCGTATTTCTTAATTAATTTATTATTTGTCAAGTTCAGTAATCTTTACCGAATATAACCAGCCTTGGCGCCAAAACAAGCTTGTTATCAGACGTATCTTGAAAAGTGAGAAGTCGAATGTGTGCTTGACGCTCCTTTCAAAGGGCTTGTGGCAAGCTAATTTTCATTTCAAGGTATCTCTAGTTACGAACCACGGAAGTAATTTCAATAAATGAGGGTAATGTGAACTGTAAAATGCGAGGGGATTAACCATTAGCTCTGCACGTTCGACAAACACGCTAAAAATAGAAGAAATCGTTCGTGGATATACTATGACGAGGAAACCTTCAGGAGGGCTTGTCACTTTTTTAAACCAAACAAGTTATAAATTGTGTGGAATTTATTTTTAGCCTAGAAAGTGGGCAGTTATCCCAAAGCCCAAAGCAATACATTTACAATTCTTCGTTTTCAACCACCTGTCGACTGCGCGTATTTTATGGTGCCAGAATATTTTTCGGTTCATATCAAAAAAACAATCCTTATGACCATATAGATCTATAAATAGTACAACTTCAGGCAAAAACCTGGAGCATTAGAGTATTTCTGAAACAAGCTACAAGCAAACGAAGTTACCGATATTTTTTTGTTTAAATGTTTGGCGAAAACTTGCTGGTTGAGATTGATGACCACCTAAATGGCGGTCTAACTAACAGTAACATGTATAACTTATCTCATATCTAACTCACATGTATAAATTGAATATTATGAACATGTTTGAATAGTTAACTATGATTTGGCAAAAAAAATTTTTCCTTTCTATGACTCGGCTTTTCAGACTCGTAACCAGCGTAAGACAAAGTTTACCGATTAGAAAATAAAATTTGCACAACTTGGAAACAAAATGGTGAAACGATCTGAAATGTCCTACTCTAAGGCCCTGGCTAAACGAAGAAGCATGTTTCAAGAAATATTTCAAGAAACATGTTTCCATAAATGTTTCCAAAGGTGGCAAAACTGTCAAACATCGGGAAACATGTTTACTCAACATCGGCTACCGCATGCGCACTTTCAAGATAGAGCTAGCGTTTAGACGGCACAACTTTTGCCTACAACTTGTACACGCAAGAGTTTTAGAACGTGTTGTAGCCGTTATCTAAACGCGCACAACTTTCAACTTACGACACAAAAAAAGTTGCACGTAATTTGCTCGGTTTGTTGTTTAGGAGACTGGGGACGGCAACAAACAAGATGGCGGACAGAAAGCGTGTGGCTGACAGTAGTACAGCGAACCAAATTATTTAAAAGAAAGAAACTGGAACCTCCAATTTGACCTAGCTAGAACTATAGCACGGGAATTTATGAGCACAATAGCAACATCACATATCTAAACATGAAAACTATAAGCATTCAAGTCACAAAATAGCACGATCAATCGACTTAACTGCACCTTCTTTGTTGATCGCAAGTAGGACTCGCTGCATTGCTGCAGCTCTATGATCTTTGTTGAAATAAGACGAGTGCTTACAGTTGAATAAAACTTCCGCTTTTGCCCATCCGCTAACCAACCTTTCGATTTCAACGCTCAAAAATTTCTTTTCTTCGTCTTTGCATTGTTTTGTTTTCGTCGTTATTTTCGTAACATTTGGAAGTGCCATTTCTGGTTCCGGTTCCATATCGTCCAAAATCGTCACCCTCTCCCCCTCAGTCTTGCTTTTTTCGTAAAAATTGCTCACAACTTTGAGGAAAATTTCAAAGTTGTGCAGCTTTTTTCGTGTTGCGTGCATATTTTTATATTTTATAATTTTATAATTACATTTTTCTTATCGTATTTAATTTATCTTTTTATTCATATTTTTGTTTATCCATATTTCTTTAATTGTATATTATTATATTATTACTCGTTGTATATTCTTATTTAGGGCACTACTGAAAACTACGTTTAGTGAGTAGGTTTCCCTCGTTAAAGATTATCAACACAAAAAGTAGATGTATGAGTAAGTCTTGTGAAGGACCACGAATTGCCAAGTACATGGATAGATAAACGGATGGATGGATGAATAAAAAAAAAAATCTACAAAGCTTTTCGCTGTTGTATCACAGCATGGGACAATCACAACAGAGCTAGGCTCCAAACTAAGTGTAAGCCCAAAGATCGAATTAGAATTTAGAAGTTGATTTTTGAGGAGGGAGGAAAACCGGAGAACCCGGAGAAAAACCCTCGAAGCACAGGAGAAAACCAAAAAACAACTCTACTCTCATACGACATCGAGATCGGCAGGACTCGAATTGGGCCGCATTGGTGAGAGGCGACGCATTAGCAGCGCACGCCACCGGTGCTTCCCTTAATAGAAATGTTGTAATTCGTGTAACCTAGCACATTCATTAAGCTAAACTAATAGACAAATGTATGGATGTATGAATATATGGGAAAGGGAATAGGTAAATGAATAGACTGCAACCATACTTTTGTTCTCGAAATAACGTTTTTCATTTTCCAAAAAAAGTCATTAGCCTCGTTCATCGGCTTTCAAATCCTCCGTCACTCCACACAATAGCGAAGCCGAAAAACTAATTATATCGTTCATAACAACCACTTCGTTCCTATTCATGAACAATTACACTTTTCCGGCCGAAAGTTCTTTATTTGATTTGATCACACAATTATGATTCTGAATCAAGTTTCTAATGAGAAATTGCGTTGTGTCCATGTCGGGAGATCGCCAAATTGGCGACTCTCCAGCAGGGAACAGCATCTAATTCCAATAATAGATCCCCGAATTATTAAAAACAATATTGAAAACTTACTAAAAACTTGCACACATTATCACGTGGACATGGAGGTCTGGCGGATCGTTCGTGGAATTCACAAAAAGTTTTCCTCTGAGGTTATTGAAAAAAATTGGATGTCAAGTAGGAAGGTCCAAAATAGAAATTTCGATAGTTTGATGACTTTTTAAATTTATAGCAGAATTATTGATACAATATTGAATTAATATTTAAATTAGTATTAGATTTTAAAAACTTTTTTATATTCTGTATCAATGTAGATTGAAATCAGTTATTTTATGTATCGAAGGAAACAGGAACGTACATTTCAGCTGTCGCATTTTTCACGACTTTTTCATATTATTTTGTTATTAAGCATAAATTTATTAGCAAGATATTGAGATTCATCACCTTTATTCTGTTATGACTGTCAAAAATTATTAGAATTAAATTATGTTATTATCAATATTATTATTATTAACATCATGTGACATGACTTTTCGGTCATTCGACTGTTAGACATCACAACTTCTCAAATCTGGCGGAAAGCTTAAAGTGACTATATATCATTATATTGTGACGGTCATAACACATCTAGCAGGAATAATAAGAACGATGGAACTGGATTTTCAAACTTCACCTACAAGACCGCCATTTTGCCTGGTAGAGAAGATGGCAGTTTGCATAGCATTGCATCGATTCCTGCGCGCAGAGCATTTTAGTTGAGTAGGATTCTTCAAACTTACTATAAATAACCATAAGATATAACTAGCTAAAAACTAGTGTGAGCTGCGTCAGTGTTTCTAATGAAACAGTAATGATAAAAAGGTAAAACATACACCGTGAAAAGGTGAAAAAACTTACTGACGTTTCGGACGCTAGTCCTTCGTCGGAGTAAAAGAGAAAGAGGTGGTAGAAAGGAGTGTATTCGTGATAGGGGAGTAAGTTTTTTCATCTTTTCACGGGGGTATAATTTACCTTTTTATCATTACTATTAATAACCATAATCTGATACGATGGTCTGCATAGATTGCTAGGTGACAGCTAAATTGGAAAAAAATATAAATGAGCTTTTTTGGTCTCCAGTAATGGTCGGGATTACATTTTAGTGTGCCTGCATTAAAACCAAATAAATAATGCGTAGTAATGAAAGTTTTAAGTGGAGTGTGGTAAACAAGAATTACGAGAGAGAAAATGCCGCAAAGGTTATCGCCTTGAAAATCTTATGAAGTTGGCTTAAGCCCTTCTTGTTCACAAACCAATTTCGAAACACTATTTTTAACGACTTCTAAGCTTATATATCTAAAAGTAAACTTTTGAAGAATGAGTAATTTTATTCGTGGGGGGGGGAGTTCTGAGAGAAGCTCTTGGTGGGAAGCGATAAACCCTCAGAATTTAATTTCAAACTTGTGCTATTCATGGCAAGGGTAACTCTAAAATTACAAATTTCAGTTGTATCTTGGAGAGGGAATAAAAGTCTTTTTATTCGCGGGGGAAAAGTTCTGAGAGAAGCTGTTGGTGGGAAGGCTGCAATAAATCCTCAGAATTAAATTTCAAATTTGTGCTATTCATGGCAAGGGTAACTCTAAAATTTCAAATTTTATACAGTCATTCTTTCAGTTGTATATTAGAGGGAATAAAAGTCTTCTCCGTCAATTCTCTTCGTAACTATTATTGGAAAGCTGGTCCTAACTAGACCTTTTTATCGATACGGCAGGCATCTTAATTTATAGGATGCCCAGGTAGCAAACGTACAAATATTTATATATACCCCATTCACACCTAAACGTGTTTAGTTAAACTATGTTTTCATTAGGAAAAAAAATTGAGAAACTAGAAACCTACAATATAATGAAACTTTCTAAAATATTATCAGAGCAAGACAAAGGATAGTTTACATGCATTATTTCACCAAATATTGTGCACTGTTTTATTAGTTAAACCACTCTAAAACATGTTTAAGCCTTGGTGTGAATGGGGTATTAGAGTGGCAAAGGAACTTTTCTTAAATTTTGTGTTCACATATAGTTCCAACTACAACTTACTTAAAAGAATAGAATTCAAGATGGCCGCCGTATCACTAGTAAAAACGTGTGGGACTTTGAGATCACTTCAGGCGTACTATACTACTTAAACTCAAAATTAAAGCGGCTTTCTTTAAGATCATTTTATTCTAATAAAATAACAACTTGCTCAAGGGCCTAGAATAGACGTGTTATTAAATGACAATAAAATGCTAACTTTTCCTTATTTGGGTGGTTAAACGATCACGTGATTGAAGCATTAATGGCGCCAACTTGTTTATCACAAGCAGGTGTTAATTCTCTCTGTAAACTTGAGTTCAATCTTTCAAAATTTTTTACCATCTCATACATGATTCAAGGTTGACTTTTCGTTTTTTTACTGTGTTGTAGATGTGAATAAGAAGCATAAACGAAAAAAGCAGTCGTCAAGGTTTAAGTAACATGGTTTTTGAAGTAATTCTTAAGCATCGATATCAAAAAAAGCTTTTTTTGCTTTCACGGCTGTCACTTTTATTGTGTTTATCTTTTCTAAAACGTTATATTTTTCAGAAYGATTTGCAGTTTTCGCGATATTGCAATTGCTTGCGTGTCATATATAATACTGCCACATGTTCGCCGATTTTTGACAGAGCGATATTACGCGGATATTTGCATAGAAAATAGAATATATTTTTCGAGACTCGCAGTCGCTAGGGATGATAGGAAGTTCGTTGGACCGGCTCTTTGATTTAATAGATAATGACAACCTCGTTAGTTCTACAATCCAATCAATAGATGGATGTCGTGTATGATCTACACGCCAAAGAAAAATACCCGGAAGCAAGTAGTTTTGTTTTAATTCTACGTTTAACCATTAGAAACTCGGTTATTGAGTGGCATTCATGAACTCCCACTTTGAGCTACTAGTGTTGTTCATCCCTTTATAGTGCTTTTTATTCCTTAATTTTGTGTCAAGAATTGTTCGGTATTGACGTCATTTTCTGTCAGAAATTTCCGAAAATAGTATAAATAAAGTAAAAAACGCAATTATTTTCTTCCAAAAAGATCTAAAAATAACGTTTAATTATTGTCATATTTATTTACATTTCGTTGTACTTTTCCTCCGATCTCAGTTGAAACTAAAATATATAGTTACTCAGATACCTCACACTGAATAATATAACTGAAATATATAGTTTAAAACTTCCTTTAGTAAAGGAGCATTTTTGCAGTTTTTTTTCTAATGTGTTTACTCAGACACCTCACACGGAATAATATAATTTGTCTTGGTCGTGAGAAAGTTAGTTCATAAGTGCCCTTAGCACGCCCCAAGCTTTTGTGAGTTAAAAGCATAGTCTAAATTAATCTAATCGCTGAGCTCACAACACTTCAAATTATAGCTTTTTTCCTAAGCGTTTCCTTCTTTTTTTTTTACTAAAATGAAACTGAAAAAGGCTTCATTTTTGCACTCTTATTCCCAGAATGAAACCTTTTTAAAATATCTTGCTCTTACGTTACTTGATTACAAATTTTGCTCAATGTGCTATAATAGGCTAAAAATATAATTGAAATAAGATTTTGCTGAATTTATTTTCTCGCTGAGATGAAGTTGTTTAGTTTTACTCTCTTTTATAATTAGGAATATCTCCTATCTTCCATTCTTGTTTCCGGATGTTTTTTAACTTTCAACCATAAACTATACAATTTGGAAACAAAAAGGAAAAAAAAGACAATGAAAAAAATTGATTCACAAGAATACTTTTCGGAGACAATTCAAAACTTTTTGCCAGCTTGTCTGTGTTCGTTACAAAAACTTAATTGAGGATTGAAGGAGCTTAGAAAATGTTTTGCTCTCAGATAGATTTGATATTGAGAACCATTAAAAAAAATTTTTTTTTTCAAGTTTCAATGATGCAAAACAATTATCAATGTTTTTCTGTTTGCTCAACTCTTTACTACTCGAGCGGGCAACATTTTTTAAACTCCCTTAAGACTCCTTTAAAAAAACTTGATACACTTTTAAGCGGAAATAGCATGAAAATAAAGTTGATACTGTAGAAGCAAAGCTCATTCGAGATGAATTTTTTTCCCGTTAAAAACTAATCCTGGCTTGACAGCAAATCCATCCTGAGTGAAAAATCAATGCCGGTTTTCAACAAAAAAATGTCTAACTATAAAAGCTTTTTGCTGAATTTGAAATGAAACAAAGAAAATCGCATTATTAAAGGTTTATCCAAAAATGATTGAAAAAAATTTTTTAAAAATTAATTAATTAATTAATTAATTTTAAAAAATTAAGTGCATTATTGATGACTTTATCCAAAAATGCTTGAAAATTTGATGAACTGTCTAGGCATCAAAAAATAAAATTATCGAGCTTTCCGATAACATTAAATTAACAAAACAATTCACACCTTTAAACTCATGCACTTCTGTTTACACTCAGTATTACATTCTTAGATATAAAACCGATAATAAAGAAAACATTTCGTCCGTTATTTTATAATTTATCTTTCTCAAAGAAAAAAATTGAAGCTTCTGTAATTCTGTGGTTTATTCATTTTATATTTACACACATTTACATTAATAGTCGTAGTCGTATTTAATATATACAATAAAAACAGTTATATTAAAAACGCATAAAAAACACAGTTTCAAAATACATACATTTTAACGATTTTTTCTACAAATAATTTGAGAGTATGAAAACTGTAAAAGGTATTGGGGGAAAAACAATGCTTGACAGCTTTATTGTGGATTTTGGTGAACATATTGCCATCGTAATATTTCTCATCTCCGGCCATGAATAATCATTGGTGAAGTCGGTATCAATATAAGTGATGTTCACAAAATAATTTTGTAATTCATCTCAGGTCATTTATTGGTAATAAACGCCTAAAAACATTTTAAAAGACTGTAAAACCACTTCAGTGGCAAGCCATAGGCGCCAGAACAACTATACAGATAGATCGAAGTTTTCAGGTGCTTGACAATCGTTTTTTAGCCCTCTGCCGATCACTAGTAAAATAATAGTCTTCCATTTCTTATACATAATTTGTCATTAATTTAAACTTGAAATTATGTTTCAATGATGTTCTTAATTCAAAAACACATTTATTACCACATAAAATGGTCTAAATATTTTTTTACTTAATACTGCGAGAAGATAATGACTATAATGTAACCAGACGAATTAATATTTATCGATAAAAGAAAAACCTACTTCACGAGTTCGGTTTTTATACTCAAGTTTAATAGTGAAAATCAATACTACATGCAATATTTGAATTAATACTATATATAATATACAGCCAAGTGTATTGTTATTCGATGACAAAGCACTTAGCGCCAATTGTTATTAAATTTTACGTAAGAATTTTTAATATTTTTTTCAAGAAATATTTCATCGTTAAATGAAATAAAAAGTTTTGACGCATTTGTTGAAGTAAGTTCGCCGGCAATTCCCAGCTGAAACCAAAATTTTAGCTCATACCAAAGTTATTCAAATTTTAAAACCAACCTAGGCTTTTTAATTCAATTCGCAACTTTATACATCCATGTTGAAAATGGACTTCATAAATGGTTGCTATGAGATAAATAAAACTACCTATATTGGAGATAAGATTTTGAGATAAGACTTTGGTTTTAACTAGTATAGTATTTAACACGTTAAAAACATGTTAAAGTTCAGTTGTGAGTACGATGTTTTTCGCTTTTTAAGTCAAAGGTATATTATCAAGAAGAAAACAAAAGCGCCATGCAAATACAGCACCTACACAGACTGCCATAATTACATCGCACAATTTATTCATGTTTTTCACTTGTTTAATAAATTTCACTCGAAAACTGAAGTATTGAAGCTGCATCTAATATATATTTCTAACAATATTTATAATAATTGAAGAATTTAGTCCTAAATTGCTTTTTTGTTTCTTGCATTGCTTGGCGAATACGAAAGGTGGCCTTTGTCATATTGAGCTAGTTTTTACGTGTCAAAATCCGGTGAAAACTTTTTTTATTATTATTATTTTATTTTATTTTAGAAATTTCTATCAGCTTTTTCTAATTTCTATCAATATTTTTGTTTTTAGTTCTTATGAATTTTGCTGTTGATAGCAAGCAGATTCAGAATGTTCGATTGTTACTTGAGCAAATAGTCGTGGAGAAACACTGAAACCACGGCTGTCTTCTCGTAAAGCCGTCTCGCTTGCATTGGGTCGTTCGTTCGAGTGAGGCACCCAGATTGGAAATCTTGCTTTAAGTTCTCTAATTAAAGTTTTTCTTATTTCTTTATTTAACAAGCAGAATATGCAAGGATTGACGGCCGAGCTTGTATACTGTAGTGGTATCGTAATAAAAAACACAATTGTAGGGATCGAGCTGAAGCCAATCTTGATAGAGAGCAATAACGTTGCCATCTGAGGGACCCAGCAGATAAGATACGCACCTACAATTATCGAGATCCTCTTTGCTGCTCTATAGTTAATTCTAAATACTTCGATAGAAGACTGCTCTCTTGGATTTGACTGATAACGGAAAGACGCCTGATTTGCACTAGCTCGAATTCTGTAAATTCGTTTGGCTTGATTGGAAGCAATCCGATAGACGAGTCCGTTCGTGATTATCATTAAAACAGCAGGCAAGCAAAAGTGTAAAACTGTGTTGAAAATTAGGTAATTCTTGTCCAATGGTCGCACACACTGTCCTCGTATGATGAGAGTTTTGCCTCCTGACCAACCAAATTGAGGCAAAAGTCCTACGATCAACGCGTAAAACCAAATCGCTACAATTATCGACAGCGCTCTTTTTCTTGTTAGGAACTCCTGGTGTCTGAATGGAAAGGCTATTACGAAAAAACGTTCTAAACTACAGGCGCACAAGTTTAGAGCGACAGCGATCACCGTTATCAAGTTTAAGTTGCTCACGAACTCACAGGCACCAACCGAATGGTAGTGCAAGGTTTGAAGCATGACTCCTTGGCTTACAGGAATTATTATCGTTGCGATCAGCCCGTCAGCCAGACCCATGCTTAGTATAAAAAAGTTGCAAATACTTCGAAGTTTGGAGTTAAATACCATTGCGAATATAATCAGAGCGTAGCCTATGAGACAAAATATTATTATAATTATTTCATAAATACTGAGAATTATGACAAGCTCCTTGGAGTAAAGAGAAGATTCTGAAATGTTAGTGGAAGATATCTTGGACATATTGGCACTACTTGCATGACGAGAAGCCATTTCAATCTTCACTACTTCTGTGGTTTCCAAGTTCAAATCCAAGTTTAGCAAGTCTTTTTTTCACTTCAACAAGAACGTCTTGATATGTCCTCAAACGTCTGCCACATACGCCGAGTTTCTTCGTCTAGAACGTTTATTTGAAATTAATAAATGATCTTTTTTCGCTTATTAGCTTTTCCACATTCCTCGGATTCTCTCGAGAGAGAGAGAGAGAGAGAGAGAGAGATTCTCTCCTCTGGTCTGAGTTAATAATTGTTTTAGCCCAAGCTGGTTTCTTCAAGGCAGGAGAACGAACCAATGAATAGACATCACCGATTTAAGTCTTGAAGAATTTTGATAAACATTAGATAAGTAAAATGCTAAACGATGGGTTTCTAGTTATTGTTGAGGTATTGTTTACTCCACCTGGACGTTGAAAAGTGAGAATTCTTTATTGCGATCGCACACCTTTAAATCTTCAAATTTGCATAAGGTAGGCGGTATAAGGTTGCTAGAAAATATTGTCCAATTACAAAAAACCAAGCTTGGAACGGTCTTATTCTTCCAATCATTGTCTTTCAAGGGATTCGATCACCCCAGTAGTCACGTCCATGAATTTGACAACGGAAGCATATCTATATATATTACATAAAGAAGGTTAATTAATCAAAAATTTATCATTAAACAAGCTCTATTCGGTGTCTGAATGTATGGAATAAAGATCGCCTGCCTTAGAAAGATATTATTTCTTGTGTAGGAAGAAAAATTGTGTGGTTCGTAAACATTTTGAAGAGTCGATTTCTAAAACCACACATGAGTTGTTTGTCATGTGGGTTTTTTTTGTTTTTTTTTAAAAGAAAATATAGTTTAAGTTCTCTTAATTTATAATACAGACTTATGCACATAAATTACTTCACTAATGTAGTCGTTTAAATTCATAAAGAAATGGATACGTTCATTTTAAGAAAATCATCTTAATGAATATGAAGATCGTTTAGTTAAACCTAAAGAAGAGTTCGTGAATGATAACATTCAGTTATCCTGTTGAAATTATCAGTCAATGGTTGTGGTTCATATACGAGAATGGACTTCAATGATGGCAGATCGAGTCTGTAAGTTTATCTTTTTAAGCGACTTCGTACATAAAACCCTCTAAATGCGCGGTTTTAGCGGTAGTGACAGAGTTGATGTATCTTTACAGTAAATTTTTATCAAAAAAAAAAGAAGGAAAAAACACACTCACAAGTGAGGATACAGTGTCTTGTATTCCCGACCAAAATAGACAGTTGTACATCCGCTTTACGGAACTTACAAAGTTTTGGAGAAAGAATTACGACAAGAAGTATCATATGTTATTATCTGATTACGAAAGCCACGTTCGTGCTCGCTTAAGGATATACGATATAAAAGCCAACTAGTATTAAGCAGGTTATCTCCAAGTTGCAATTGCATAACACAATTGTACTATCAAAGTGGACTGAACGCAGGTCGGAAGAATGATCCCAGATCACACGATAACATCCACTTGACAGAAGTAAAAAGCATTGACTACGTAGATAATAACTTTTTCTAGAAATTGAACTCACGTTTAAATAAATCATTATAAACAAATACGTAATTCGAACAGCTTTTTTCACCGTTGACATTTTTTAATGTTTTTTCCCCTCATTGCATGCAAGAAAATTAGCTAAATAGAAAAGTTATTTTAAGAAATTTATACCTTTAATAGGGGGCTATGTGAATTTTTTTTTTTTTTTTTTTTTTTTTAATATTTTTATATAATCCACAAAAGTCCGTATGCTTGATCAGCACATCCTCCACCCCAGAAAAAAAAGAACGGTTCCAAAGAAAGCACGTTTTTATTTTTGTTACGGTTGAACGTTAATCGTTGCATAAAATGATCTTTATTCAATTTTGAGAAATTCTAAACCGGCTGTTAGCAATGAGAAAGAATATTCAATATTGATAGAAATTCTCCATTTAACTTTAGTGTGAAATGGTCGTTTGAGTTTCCTTACGTGCAGTATTAGCTGAAGTTCTCAAAAACAGATAAGCGAAATTGCTCTTTTTTTCATTATAATCACATAATGCATGCGTCTATAACAACAGTCTTCAGACGTTCTTCCTAAATAACTTAGTAATGATGGTTTCTTGGTCGCCACAATGCATTGCCACATCTTCTGCAAGGACTAATCTCTTGTCTCCTCTTTGTCATTTGAGATCTATTTACTACTCGAAAGCCTTAGGCCAAAGAGGAAAAAGGAATTTTCGTGTGGATTATTACGCAACAGAGTTGAATTAATACCACTAGCTATACATTTTAAAAATATTCTTTGAGAATATAAAGGATTCAAAAGAATATACTAATTGACACATTAAGCCCCATTTACACTAGCGATTTTTGCGGCGATTTTTCACTGCGATTTTTTTGCGACATTGTCCATAATAAATAATGGTAAAGGATTTACTTGTAAAGTTTTTTTTCCGGATACCAAGATTTTCCTAGACGAATGTCTCTTTTGAAGGATGAGACAAAAGATTTCATATTTCCCAAAATTGCCACAGAAATCGCCGCAAAAATCGCCAGTGTAAACGGGGCTTTAAGGACGTTCATTTGGCAAAAGTTCTCATCGTCAGAATTTTTTGAATTTTGCACGATGAAACTACATCGTACTAGAAGTTAAATAAAATTAAACGTCAGAATACGCGGAAGTTCACCCTTTTTACGGTAAAATGCACGAAAAACGTAGAAATGGGAAGCTGTCAAAAATAAGATTTATCGTCCCCATTTTCCCCAGAACTTTAGAAAATAACCTAATGATTAGTTAACTTTTAAAAATTGCGTTAGAACTATAGAATATTATTGGGCTATAGTACTACAAGTGTGGACTTGGAGCCTTTGCGTTACGTGAAATTCTATTCCAATTATACACAAAATACGTAATTTCGATTTGATTAAAATCGTCAGATTTTTTAAATATTTCTCCTCAAAAGTCGGGTATCATAAAGTACTTTCAAAAAATGAAATAAAAAGGGGGGTCCCCGACTTTAGTTTAGAGCTATAAAAGATTAAACACGTTTTCATGAGATTTTGCTTATCGAAAAATTGGAATGATCCCATCGCTAAATTGGTGCTAAAGCAATTCCCATGAACGTCCTTAAAAGGAGGAGATTGGAAGCCAGCTTTCTTTCTTTTTTGTTTCCTTTTTCATTGAATTCTCGAATATTATTATCCAGGTTATTTATAAGCCCTTTTCATACACTCGAAATAAATTATTCATTCTCGATCCTATAAAGATATAATAATAAATAATAATTTTTTAAATTTCTATAGCGCTATATATAGATTAACTCTAAAACGCTTAACAACTAGGGGGGAAAAAATAATAATAAATATATACAAATGAAAAATATCTTAATATAAAGATATCTTAAAATTGCATTTTTGAGATGATCTTTAGTTGCTTGGAAAAAAAGCGATTTCCGCTTTTATCGTGAAAAATAACAATCTCTCTACCAAGGGCAAAGAAGAAAAAGTAAACAATCTTCGAAATCGTCAGCTCCGTGTTTATTTAGCGCTTTAGTCAAAATAAGACTAAACTAAACACGAGTCTCCAAGTCAAGTCAGGACGCTCGAGCGATTAATCTAAATAATGACTGAAGGCCGCATTAACTTGATTTATTTGTTTATATTTTTGAAACTTGGCTTGTAATCCGTTGAAGAGCCGAGCGCCACTAGACAAAATCAAACCCAAATATCGGTGACGTCACGGGTATCGCACATGCGCAGTATCTTGTGGTCACCTGAAGTATTTGAAGGTGACGTCATGGGTAACGCACATGCGCAGTACCTGGTGGTCAACCAAAGTCTTCGAAGGTGACGGCACGGGTATCGCACGTGCGCAGTACCTAGTGGTCAACCGAAGTCTTTGAATGTGACGTCACGGGTATCGCACGTGCGCAGTAGCTGGTGGTTAACTGAACAACTGCATACGTTTTCCCCGTAATATGCGCGCAATGCAAGTACAATATATATTTTGTTGGACCAACATTCAGGGTCTTGTCTTAAAACAACTGTGGAGAAGGTGCTGACTTTGTAATTACACCTGCATATGGTTAAACCTTCAAGTCTTCTCGGATAAGGACTTAAAACCGTATAGGACGCCCGTAGTCTTCACTATACAAACCTGTATAAGGCGGACGTTGAAGATTCACTGAAGACGCTGGTGACGACCATCTTCAGTGCCCTTGCTAAATACTACAAAGCCCAAAGTAATTGCCTATGCTGTYGTGTTGTCCCTACCCTCACCGGGAAAAAATCGTAAATCACAAATCCTTTTGTTATACTGAATTGTACAGATACCACTTAGCGTAAATTCACTAGCTGTTGATGTTTGTAAAATACAAAAACAACGCGTTGGTGAATTTAAAAGCTTACAAGTTGTTGGTCTCAAATTGTTAAGTGAGACACTTGTCAATTCGTCTGAAAGCAAAACTAAATTATTCCTTAAGGTGGCTGACTACTATTGAACGTTCGATTTGAGCCCACGATGTGCGCGCGCTCACAAAAACCGCTGAATAATTTTCACGATTTTATTGAAGAACTACTATACACGTTTTGCATGAACTTCAAGAGGGCAAAACACTCAAATTTTGCACGGGACTTTTTTTTTTGTTAATTTCCGGAATATAAGGTAATGTCCCATTATTTTTAATACAATTCTGTTTGTATTGTAAAAAATAATGTAAAAAAAAT